CACAGAGAGTAGGGCCAGGCTGAAGCCAGGAGGTTGCTCTTGGCCTCACACCAGGTGGCAGGGACCCCCAAACACCTGGGCCATTCTCTACTGCTTTTCCCAGGCCATTAGCAGACACTGGGATCACAGTGGGGCAGCTGAGACATGAACTGGCTTCACACAGACACAGACCTCTGCTACCCTCGGGTTCCCTGTCCCAATGCCTACAATTGCAGGTCTGGGCCATGTATAAGCCAGGAGCTGGGAACCCACTGAAGGTCTCCCATATGAGTGGTAGGAGCCATCTCCTGCTGCCTCCCAGGCACGTGTGAGCCGGAAGCTAGAATCAGAGCAGGCTGGGACTTGAACCCAGACATTCCAACACAAGATGCAGGCTTTGCAGCTCTCATTTTAACTGCTACCCCAAATAGACACCCCTAAATGTCTAGTTCCATTTTCCCACAAATGTGTTGAAGCATCGTGAATATGTATCCAGGCAACAAGGATTGTGGAAGTTTCACTTAAATATGACTAATTGGATCACTCCCATTTGATGAAAACAGTTCACCCAAGAAGTCATAGCAAATAAAGAAACAATTAACGGGAACATAAATAGTTGGCTGATTCTACCACACTGCCTCAAGGTAATTCCTCATAGTTTCATTTTAAAAACTATATTTCTTTTTATTGGAAAGGCAGATCACAGAGAGAAGAGACAGAAAGATCTTCTATCCACCGGCTCATTCCCCAAATGGTTACAATGGCCAGAGCTGAGCTGATCCGAAGCCAGGAGCCAGAAGCCAGGCGCCTCCTCTGGGTCTCCCATGCGGGTGCAGCATCCAAGGCTCTGGGCCATCCTCCACTGCTTTCCGAGGACACAAGCAGGAAGCTGGATGGGAAGTCCAGCAGCTAGGACATGAACTGGCATCCATATGGGATGCTGGTACTTGTAAGGGGAGGGTTAGCCAGTTGAGCCATTGCACCAGACCTCTTGGCTTCATTTTTAATTTCATTCTTTCAAACTGTTATTTTATGTGATATGGCTAATAGTTGCATTCTGGGAGGGTCATTATACTTGGCCGACCCTGCCAGGCAAATAATCAAGGAACCGAAACTTGGCACTGATTCCTTACCCTTCCTCCTCCCCCCAGCAGTGGGCCTCTTGGTAAGATAGTGAACCAACCACAGTCCCACTTACACTGCACCTGCTGTTCCATCGCTCCCCACCCCACACCCTCCTATCTGCTCTGTCACACACACCTGGAGTCCTTGCTGCACCCACAGGCTCGCTCTTCTCCTTTTTCATCAAGTACTCGATCGGTCTTCACACAGTTCGTGGCAAACACATGCCACAGAACCACCACCTTTACACCAACATCCTCTTTGAATTCTGTGTTTCCATGGACCTTCTGAAGCATCCTTGATGCAGGCCTGCCCTCATCTCTTCCTTCATCATTTAGCTCCATTTCACTACAGATCCCTTTACTGCCTCCTGGAGCCCTCCCACCACCTGCCCAGAAACCCACGACTTCCCATTGCTGCCTAAAAGTCAAATCCAGGCCCACACGTGACCAGGAGAGGGTCCAGGAGTTACCTGTCTGGACATAAACTCCCTCTACTTTCAGCGCAGATCCCACTCAGTGTGGTAGTTCTGCATTACATGGGGATTTTTTTTCCCCGTGTGCTAATGCATAGGTGGTCCCAGCAGTGAAGCTGCCTAGCCCTCCTGCCTCCACTTCTCAAGCTGTAAAATGGGGTCTCACCTGACTCTGGGGGGAATTTCCCAGGGCATGAACAGCATCGCGGGGGTCAGGAGGTTGCAAAGCCCAGGGCAAAGGGAACCTGACTCAGATACTGGCTCTGACTAGAGAAGCCTCAGGTTGTGTTCAAGGAAATAGCTGGGAAACATGTTACAACACGGGCTGCCACCGCCACGCCCAGCATGCAGGAGGTGACACAGAAAGGTCAGGCGGCTGAGCTCACCGCCTAAAAGCCGAGTTTACCCACCCCCGCCACGGAAGCAGGGCCCCGGACCCATGGAGGCCACCCACCAACTCTTCTCCTCCCCTCCTCAACCTTCTGGTCTCCTGTCCTTGCTCCCAGACCATACACCGAGTGTCACCGACACTGCTACACTTCGAACCCATCTGGAAAGAAACCTGAAGGGCCAAGATCTCCTGTCGCCAGCCCCTGGGGCCCATTACCGGCTTCCAAGCCCCGGGACCCGAGGCAGGACGCGCGGGTAGCAGCAGGAGCGTGGCGTGGTGAACCCAGTACTCACTCTGCGCAGTGATGCCCGAGAACCACGGCTGGGAATGAAGAGGCTTGCATTCCCTGCTGGGTCCGGCCCTGCGGTGGAGGTGGACCGCAGAGGAGCCCACAGCCGGGGCGGGGCGCGAGCCTGACCGGACGCCGTGGCCCGCCCCTTCCCCGCAAGGCCCCGCCCCGGAGCGCTGGCCCGGCAGGTCCCGCCCCGGCTGCTGGGCCCCGGGTCCACAGCGCCCCACTTTGCAGGCCACCTGCCGGGTCCTCTGTCCACTTGGGCTGGGGCTGCGACTGCCCGACTGCCTGCCTCTGATGCCAGCAAAAGAAGGGAGGCACCGTGGATGCTCTTTGCAAACCCCAGAGCACTTCCAAACACTTTGTGAAAATGCAGTTCAAGTCCTGGTTAATTTGGGTGCAAATCCACGCATGCGTGAGTGCTTCAAAAAGTTTACGTGAGAACAAGTATTTTGAAAAAGCTACGTATGCATTTCACTTTCCTTTGGTGCTAAAATAAATGTAATTCCATTTTTTCTGTGAACTTTCTGAAGAACTCTCATATAGTTCCATAAATCCCGCTTGAAGATTACAATAATGAGCAGAACTGGAGATGCCTAAATATGTTCGAAACTGGTGTATATTTTAAAAAGCAATTTAATAAGGGTCAGAGTTCTTCTGAATTATTATCCATTACACATTACGATTTAGAATATGTGAAAATTGGACCTGAAGACACTGAATAAAATATGAATTAAAAGGTCTACATTGCTATAGAGAATTGCATAAGAATGGGGAAATAATCTCTTGCAGATGAATGCCAACTAATCAATACAAAAAATGTATGAAAAGTTAGAGAAAAGAATTATAAAAGAAATCTAGCAATTTCCCAAAGCCATAAACCAGTCAGGACACAGGGACAGCAGCTGGCATTAGAGAGGCAGGGCAGGGTTTGGGTGCTTGGCGCAGCACCCAGGACACCTCTGGGGTTGCTCATGTTCCACATCCAGGTGCTAGGGTGCAAACCTCCACGTCCTGCAGATTCCTGCCAACGTAGACCCTGGAAGGCCACAGTGATGGCTCACACCCACGAGTCCCTGCCACCCACAGTGGTGTTCCTGACTCCTAGCTTTGATCTGACCCAACCTGGGCTAGTGTAGCCATTTGGGGAACCATCAGACAGATCTCTCTGCCTCTCTGTTTTCTTTATATAAACCAGGAAGCAAACCAACACTTGCATGTTTAAAAGGAGCAGCGCTCCCGTGGGCCTTGATAGCCCAGAGCCCCCCAGGCAGCTGAAGCAGGTGGTTCTCTGTCCCTCACTGCCCCTCCCAAGGGGTCCTCACAGCACCCTGCTTCTTCTACTCCTCCCGTCACATCCAACTGATAAAACTTTCAACTCCCATGTCCTACTACTACTCCCTGGGCAGAAGACATCCTAAATTCTTAATGAAGAGAAATTCAAGATTATTTGCTAATTGCCAGTATTTTCTTCCCCACTCCCTACCCCCACCCCCAGGTCTCACTGATGTTCATTTCTCCCATGACAAAAGTCACATAGAATGATTCGTTCAGGCCTCAGTCCTGCACGCCTGGGCCTGGCAGCCCCAGGGCTAAGCAGTGGTGTTTCCTGCACGTAGCTGAGTACTTCTGTGCTCCTAGAGAGCTGCTGAGTGACTGCTTGCTTAGGAAGTTCCTCCCCGCAAGGTTCTCATGAGGCAGGCCAGGGGGGCTACCCTGAGCTCCTGCCACTGTCGCCAAGCATCACTCTTTTTCTTAGTGTGGGCCCATCTGATCATCCACAGCTGAAACTCTCTCCCTCTTTCCCTCCCTCCTTCTCTCTTTGTTGCTCAGGCTTTCAAACAAACACATCTTTAAAAACCAGGTTAATTATTCTAATTCCTTTCAAAATCAGTTCTTCTCTGTTAATGCCTTTAGCTTCCCGTCATGGTGTATTTTTCTGTGTATTAGGATTTCATTATCGTTTAGCTCTGTAGGTACAACTAAATTCTGTGTTTCCATGGACCTTCTGAAGCATCCTTGATGCAGGCCTGCCCTCATCTCTTCCTTCATCATTTAGCTCCATTTCACTACAGATCCCTTTACTGCCTCCTGGAGCCCTCCCGCCACCTGCCCAGAAACCCACGACTTCCCATTGCTGCCTAAAAGTCAAATCCAGGCCTTGTGACCTTTTTGTGTCACGTGAATGTATCACATAGGTCTGAGACAGAATGAAGGGAAAAGTTAAACCCTTGGGAAACTGCTATTTAGGAAACTGGAGAAAGAAAACATGACAAAGAGCTGTGATGGAGGTGGGAGAGAGCAGGATATTGGCAAGGAAAAATTTGAAGTGTGCAAAGGAATAATGATAACATAGGGTTGGAAGCCTTTCATAGAGAATTTCAGAGAGCCTTCTGGCATTAACACTCATGAGTGATATCAGAAATATTTGCCAAAGAAGCAAGACAACCATATTTCTACTTTCAGAATTAGCAAAAAGTCCAGTCTTTTCTATAAACACACACAATGATACTTAGTGAGCACTTAAGATGAGCCAGGAAGAATGGCAACACAGATGGTTACACCATATCCAAAATCACTCCAACCATGAACAGTGTTAATAGCATCACCTCTCTAGCATAGAAAATGTGACTTTGTCCCAAAATTGGCATTGTGTGCCTACCCTCCAGGTCCCAGGTACCCAGGACCCTCTGTGAGGGTGAGGTGAGCAGGGCTCTCCTTCTGCTTGGAAAGTGACTGACCTTGGTCACGGCAGCTGCTCCATCAACATGGCTTCTAGAAGGTTCACCACTCCCAAGGCTGGCTGCTTTTTTCTGGAAAACAGAAAATGTGAAATTCAATGAAGGACAGTACCCGAACAAGAGGGCTGAGTACTGATGTTCATAATAACATAAACATCTTCTGAAGCAAAGCACAGACTAATATACTAAACACACCCCAAGTAAGCCTGTTTGTAACTTTTCATGACGCCATCTGAAGACTCTGTAAAGACTGAAGAGTCAATTGTTACATCCCAGTTGCTTGATATTCAATGATTTTGGGGAACTGCAGACATCTCAAAAGGGCAGCGGTCACTTCCCCTCCCCCAAATGTACTGCCAGAAGCCCTTCACTGACTGGTGTGGCTGCTCTGTCTCTGATGGGGCCGTCAGCAGTGGCAGAACCTCCACAGAGGATGACCCAGCACTGGGCATCACCTAGCACTTCTACCTGTGGCCACTGACCTCCCAGAAGAAGAACAAGGGCATTATGCTTTGTCTTTAAAGATATTCACAATGTTAATATCAAAATGCTGACCGCACCATATGCGATAATCATGAGTGATACGAGGGAATGGATTGTGTAGAGGTCACTCACCTATTAGTGCTACAGATAACAATAAGATGATAGGATTGTAGTAACTGAATGTTTGGGACCATTGTTCTGAGTTCTCTACGTCCTTTAGGTATCATGTGTAATAACCTAGTTAATCTTCACAGTAAGTAGTGTGAAGCTGGTTCTGTTATCATCTGTAGTTTATGGGTGAAGAGCTAGAGGAATAGATAGTAATGTAATCATGGTCCCAGCCAGCAGAAAGAAGCTAGGGGGTATGCTCTGGTCTGTTCCTTGCCCACTACTACAGCCGCTCCTCATAGTAAGGCTTTTGGAACATCATGTGGCTGCTCAAGAACATTTCATTAAATGCAAACACATTAGTACATTTTATATGAAGAAGAGCCAGATTATAGTATGATCTCTGGTGTTCATATGGGGTTGTTGATGTTTATAATGGGGTAATCTCAAAAAGCTTTCTTTTTTGCATTTTTGTCATGTAAGTATTTTAACTTAGGAAAAGATGGTAAGTGAGGGTTGGGGTGAAGGAAAGGTAAAATACACAATTGCTTTCCTAGCAGTACAGCATATCCTGTATGTCTTCCAAATACCTACATTCCAAAGAAACATGTAACATGAAGCTATAAGCCCATGAGAGATGATGAGTAAATCAAAAGATTGAAGATCTGCCTCTGCCCCTCCTCTTTACTCTGTAAATCTGCTTCTCAAATAAAAATAAATAAATCTTTTAAAAAGTAACTTTCTCAACTTAACTTGTCTTTGTGTATGGTCCGTCACTGCAAAATCTAGCTTGTCCTCGAGTCACTTGGCTTAGCCTACCAAGAACCACTTCAGCTCAGCTGAAAAGGGAGTGGACTTTGTAAAAATGCTCTTTTCACTAAATTTTCATCTAGCAAATATTTTCAAATTTATGCCACTGTCAGGCACTTAAAACACACTAGGAAAGCTTAGAAAGGCACTTAGGTGTGGGGTCCGGACTTCTTCATTTCAGGTTTGTGACGGAAGTCTAGCAGTAGGTTGTTCTGGCTGGTGTATAAGAACTGGCTCTCTTTCTGTACTCTTCATTGTTCAGACTATGAGCCTGGTCTCATCCTAGGCAGTGTGGATGTAATGACCAATTAAACAGAAAAAGTGCCTGTTCTCACCTGCTTTCCATGGGGAGGTTTCAGACTTGATGTAAGTCAACAGAAACAAGCTGACTTCAGAGTGACATACACGTATAGAACAGGGCGACGTGACAGTGACTGGCTAAGGGCTGCTTCAGACAGGAAAGATGGGAGATAGGAACGTGACATTTGACAGAGACCCAACTGCTGGGAAGCTGCCAACCAGTCAGGTAAGCACGGGGTGTGGGTGGGAGGCATTCCAGGTGCAAAGGGAAGCCTGTGCAGAGGCCCTGATGTGGGCGTGAACTTAGCCAACTGGAGTTGCCGAATGAAGCGAAGGTGGCTACAGGCAGAGTGGGTGTGTAATGAAACAGGAAGTGGGTTGAGGATATTATTCAGAGTGATGTCTTCAGATGGTCCTGAGGCCAGATATGCTTAGGACCAATAGCTCTTCCAGGTGCTGACGTGCTCCTGGACTTCTCTGGGTCCCACCCATCCCTGGAGAGTCTTCCCTCATCTCCAAGGCAGAGTCTTCCAAGCCCTCTGGCTTTGAGTCATTTTGTACTCACTTCGCAGATGCTCATCCCATATCACTTATCAGCCGCATCCACCTGCAGAATCCCTGCTCCATCCTAGCACATCCTTCACCAGGCTAGGTCAGCATGTTCACCAACTAGGGACAGGGCTTGATCTGCCCTCAGACACAGCCCAATTCATGTACTTACTCCAAAAGTCCCCAAACAAACTCCTGGATATATGAGCTTCCATTCACTCTAACGACAGTTACACTGAAATCTCTAAAGTAAAAGATTATCAGTGAGAGTGCTAACTTCATGATACATTCAAATTTGGAGTTTCATCATTTTCTTCTGTTCCATAAATCCAGAGCCCATGTCACCGGGTAGATCCTTCCTTGCAAACCAACCATGCACCTTCCAACATGCACATTCGCCACTTTAACTCAAAGTGTATCAAAAGTTCACTGTTGAGAGCATCCTACACCTCACTACTATATGTCCATCCTCAGGCCTGGCACCTGGTGGGTCTGCTGTCACCGCCTTCCAATCAATAGGGACAGGTGTGCAGGTGTCTGTGCTTTGTCCTCTGCTGGTCACAGAGGCAGTGCATAAACCACTCTTCTCAGGGAAGAACTTCAAACACAGAGCAGCAGCCCTGTTTCGATGGACTTGGAAGCCACGTCCCCTCCTGGTGGTGACCCTCTCACCTGCAGCCCAGGAACACTTCACACCTGAGCAGGACACCCAGGTCACGGTGGCTCTATCAACCAGGAAGGCGTGACAAGAATAAATGAGTGCCTTTTGGGCATGTCTCCTTGCAGTTCCTAACCCTAACTTCTCAATGACACTGAAATGGTCTTAAACTAAAACAACAGTGGAGTTCTAAAAGCCAGGTAATGCACTGTTTGGTGTCACAGGCCGGGCCTCCAGAGGGAAGCCCCGTGCTGAAACTGGTGATGACAGCAAAACTAAACAGACTTTCTTTAAAAAAATAGAGAGAAATTACTACTTAGAGTAAGCTGCAACCCATGGATTTACTCCCCAAAAGCTCCAACAGCCACAGGGGGCCAGAAACCCAATCCGGATCACACACAAGAGAGGCAGGGACCCAGTGACCTTAGCCACCATCTGTGCCTCTCAGAGGCACAGGAAGCTAGAATCAGGAGCTGGGATGGGAACTGAACCCAGAGGCTCTGCGGGGGGCATGGGCATCTGAACCCCTAGGCTAAATGCTGCCCCCCTTTTGGTAAATACAGCAAGAGTCCTGGTCAAGCAGCAGCCAGGAAATTGCAGGCCAAGATTTTGGATTTCTCTAAAGACCAACTTTCCAGTTCACTGATGTGAGGAGCCCCATCATGCCTGAGATGACTTTAGGTTTGAATATAAGATGGGGTTGTGGTACAAAGGTAGAAAATCTCAGGCATCCAGCACTATGGCTTAATGGCTAAATCCTTGCCTTGCAAGCTCCAGGATCCCCTATTGGCACTGGTTCATGTCCAGGCTGCTCTGCTTCCCACCCAGCTAGTGCTTGTGGTCTGGGAAAGCAGTAGAACATGGCCCAAAGCCTTGGAATCCTGCACCCACGTGAGAGAACCGGAAGAAGCTCCTGGCTCCTAGATTCGGGTCAGCTCAGCTCCAGCTCAGTAGTCATTTGGGGACTGGACCAGCAGATGGAATATATCTTTCTTTCCTTCTCTCTGTAAATCTGCCTTTCCAATAAAAGAATAAATAAATCTTTTTTTTTTTTAAAGAACAAACAAAACAGAAGAAAAGGAAAGAACAGGAACTAAGTAAATAAAATAAAATCTCGGTTCTAAAAAGCACAGGCCAAAGTGTTCAAGCAAGTCATTTAACAGACCCCTACTCCCCCACCCCCCCGAGCAAACTCAAGACAGGACTTAGGGGCTGCTAACAATTTCCTTCGGCTTTTATTATTTATATCACCAGAAATTATGCTAACATGTTTCCACAACGCAGATTTTTTTTTCCCTTAGGATCTGCCTAGGATTCTAATCAAAGGCCAGCTTTATAGTCAGATCCTTTGGAAATGGGCCTTGTCAGGTTGTATCAGAGCTGCCCCTGGAAGATCATATTCTGATATCATTAAGAACTACATGGGTTGGAGTTGTGGCACAGTGCGTTAGGCCACTGCTTGCAACAATGGCAGGCCCACTGGAGTGCTGGTTCAAGTCCCAGCTGCTCTGCTTCCAATCCAAACCCCTGTCCATACACCTGGGAAGGCAGTGGATGAGAGCCCCAGTCCTTGGAGATCCCTGTTATTCATAGGGGAGACCCAGGTAGAGTTTCTGGCTCTTAGCTTCCACTTGGTCCAGACCTAGCTGTTGGGGGACATTTGGGGAATGCAGTGGATGGAAGATGTCTCTCTCTCCCTCTATCCTTTCTCCGCTCTCTCTCCTTTCTCCCTTCTCCTTTCTCAATCATCCTGTCTTCCAAATAAATAACTTTAAATTTTTTAAAAAAGGGAAATATATATGTGGTCTCTGCTCTAGGTCCCTGGGCCAGAACTCCTAAAACCTCTGTGATTTCCCGGCAACAGGGGTGGGAGGAGACTCTTCCACTCTCCTACTTAGTCTCTGAGCCTGGTTTCTGACCCAGATGTCTTAAATCCCTTGGAATCTTCTGGGTGATAGAAGCAGCTTGTGTCTTCAGGAGGCCAGACCTGGTGGGCTCTGGGTCAGGGTGGGGATTAGACTACAGCAAGACCGTGCCTGAGATCAGTGGCTTGGAGCTTTCAGCCCCGCATTCCACCGTCTGCAGAAGGGAAAGCAGTATGATGTGGAGTTAATGACTGATCATGTCTGTGTGATAAGCAGAGTTGGAGAGCTTCCAGGCACAC